TGATGTATGGATCAAATTAAATTGGCCCAAAATTACTTGGAAAAAAGTCTGGTTACACTGACTTACATTCAAAGTAAAGTATGTTTAAAGGTACCTTTTTGTAGATGTGAGGTTTTGTTCCGACAGCAGTGATGTAGTTCTATATAGAATCTTTTTGAAAACGGTTCTAAATAGAACCAAAAAACGTTTTTGGTGCTATATAGAACCATGTACAACACATTCTCTAATCTGAAGAACTATTTCCCCATGCAAAGAACCATTTAAGCATGAAAAGGTTTCTTGAGTGCTCACTGCTCTTGAAGAACCGCACTCAAAATTCCATCAACATATTGAAATATCACTTTTGAAAACTTATTGAGTTGAATTAACGTCTCCTGGAAATGGCATTTCTGTGAAAAATGTCCCAAAGTTGTGGAAAGAGATATGTTGAAAACCTGCCACACTCTGACCATCAAATGGAGAACATCTAACAAACCTGGAGACTGCCCCCCAGAATACTGACCTAATAACACACCAAATACTGACCCACATAAAGGAAAGAGACACTGATGTTTGTCCCGCTGATTCTTAAGTACTTTTATGTGCCTTAAGTTTCAATTAATTTGAGGTACCTGGTTGTTGTTGCTGGTGGTTATAGCTTTTTTGATAGATATGAATGAAGAAATGATAAAATTATCTTGGAAAGTAATAAATAAACAAGACATAAATTGTCCTAAGACTACTTTAGAGCTCTGTGTATCAGTTCTATTGGAGTATCAGTGCTGATGCTTCTTTAGATGTGTTTTATATAATAGAATTAAAATTAGTCATCAACAATAAATCATGTCTTGTCTTATTATGTCTCGTATAATACAAAATAAGAAAAGCAATAAAACAATAACTATAAGAGAAAGTGAATCTTTTTTTTTTAAAAACTGATCATCAGCCTATTGTTTTCTACTGAACTATCTAGCCAGCAACTTATTTCAAGTTAGCCTGCGTTCTCTTGTTCTAGATTCTACAGCAGGTGCTGATATTTTCATCTGAACTACAAACTTCATAGTGAAAGAAAGAAAACTAAATCCTAATTGTGATTTACTGAAAGGTGTTAACTTTGCCAAAATATTTTAAAAACAGTCGTACAGATTAAACTGACGGACACTTTTAGAATCAGTGGCCTGTTGGACGACTGAAATATGTTTTTCTTTGGACACAAATGTGGACGAGATGTTCACTTGAGCACCTCACTGGGATGACCGTCTGCCTGACAGCAATTTCAGATAAAGTGTTCTGGACTGAAAGCTAAGAGGACGCTGCCTGGCCCTTCCACGAGGGAAAAGATGAGCAACGACAATGGACAAAGGTCACTATGACACTGAATAAAACATGATCAACATCACATGGAAAAAGCGCTGAAAGCAAACGCATCAACTCTCTCAGCACTACTGACCCCTGACACAGGAAAACAGAAGGCCAAATCAAACTGGATCAAAATGGACAGAAGATTCAGCACAAAATGTCCCACAAACACTCTACAGGACAGCTGAGCAGAAATATTCTCACTCCTTAAGATGTTGTTTTGTTTTATTATTTCTTTTGAATATCAATTACAAAACATGCTTAAATTTCATTGACCTTTCATTTTCCACTGATTAATTCACAGTTAGTGAAGCACTTTGACCTACATTTATGAAACTCATCATTATTAAAAGTTGTAGCAGTAGTAGTCACAGTGGTAGTAGGTCTGGGAACAGAAGCAGCATAATTGTTTCTGTTGAAACCTGATAAATCAAAAGCTATTTATAAAGCCTTATTAAAACTCCCGTAGGCGTGGGGACTCTCTCAGTCTTCCATGACCATTTCTCTACTGGCTGGACAAGTTTGGCAGCTTAAACAGTCCAAAGATGAAGCTACGCCATCGGATTCAAACAGTATCAACACCATAAAAGGTAAGATAAGCAGATCAACAATGTTGTTCCAGTTTACTGTACTTGTGTATGTAATATTTCAATAAAAAATTGTGTTATAGTTTGAAAACAGAGAGAATAATTCAGTGTAACGTAATGACAACATTATCTTGAAAAGAATATAAAAATACATAGAAAAACAGTATAAACTACACACTTAGAAATGATGGTTCTTCAGGGGTTCTTCAGTAAAGAAAATGGTTCTATATAGAACCATGAACACTCAAAGAACCCTTTAAAAAAACCCTTTTTTGAACAGGGTTCTTTATAGCACCAAAAAGGTTACGATGTCAGGCTTGTTACAATAGAGGAGCCCTTTTTGATGATATATGTATATATATATACGATTTTTCTTTTTTTTTGCCTGCCAACTTTATTTTTTTGTAATGTATTCATGAAGGAAGACATGTAAGTATAAACAAGTAGACAAACAATGATAAGAAAAGGAACAGAATACATAATATTACATAAACAAGCAAAGGACTTAATGGGAAACCTGTTAACAACATCAATAGTGTCTGTGACATGATTTTGTCATGTCAGATCAGGAAATGAACATGATACAGTTCAGATGCCCCACAGTTTCCAATGAAACTGACTATGGAAATGGAAATAAATGTCTTGAGATAGATTTTATATCTGAATAAACATACCTGGAAACTGCTCAACAAAGAGTTTCAATAACAATAACAGTAAAAAGCAGCAGTGATGGAAGGAAACATCATGTAAGCAGCTCCTGCAACAACTCACGCGAGTAAAAGGGGAACTCCACTGATTTTTCCAAAAAGTTCTACATAATTAAGCAGTTAAGATGTAAACAGAGCGGTTCAGAGCGGTTTGGTGTGAAACGCTCCGTTCTAGATAAACTTACCGAGTCACAATTGTTCACAGTGGTGGTGATAGGAACCAGACGTCCACCTCTAAAAGCTCCCTCACAGAAAGTTACTACATGAAATGGTTATGAATTCACTGCCTGATGACTGAGACACTGTTTTATGATAGTTTTGCAATAAAGTTTTGACTTAAAATTTTAATGCCTTTATTTTAACCCATTCATGGTGGAGGGATACATGCAGGGTGTTGTGACTCAAAATAGTCCCAAAGAAAACTTGCTTTTTCAGATTTTCCACTATTTCCCATCATCAACATTTCATATAAACTCAGAAGACTCATGTAGGTTCACTGGTGGTTCTGGATAGTAAATAAAATGTCTATATTTGTGTTGTCATGGCGACCGCCACCACTGTAAAGACATCTGAACCATTTCACCCCAAACCACACTGACTCACTCTGTTTACATCTCACACACTCAGTTATGCTGAGATTTTTTTTTTTAATTGGTGGAATTCCCCTATAAGTGTGAAAACAATAACGCTTATTACACCTCTTCTGTTGTAAAGTTTAGACACTCCTACTTAAGTCCACATTTTAGAATAACAGAGAGACACCAGACCTCAGAGCTCTGAAATAACAGAGACCAAACAAACCCAAACTATCCTCTATTTTAGAGTCTCACTCTTGGTCTCTGAAGCAGCTTCAAGAAAACCCACCTGAGATGCTCATATAAAATAACCTGCGAGGCACCAGCTTCACTGATTGTATTCATCTTACAAACAGATCCCAACCGTTAAAGCTCCAGCCTCATGGTGATCAGTGGTCACCATCTCCTCTCCACAGGCTTCACCACCAGCACAAAACCAACACGCCTCATTTAGCTCATCAAGACCTTCTGAGGGCAGCAATCAGATGATCAGGTGGGGTCAATCAGGGTTGGACGTGAAGTCTGCAGGAAGGCAGATCTCCAGGAGCAGGACTGATGACCACAGCTCTACACCAAAATTCACTCTAAGGCCCAGTCCCACTTCACCCCTCGCCCCTACCACTTACCCGTTAGCCCTCTGTTTTGTGTGTTCATGTCCAGGGGTAGGGTGTCCTGATTCTTGTTGGGATAGAGGTTTGGGGCGAAGTGTTGGGGCTACATGACCCTCCAAACGGAGGTTTTCAGAGACTCCAAACAGAGAGTTATGAGAAAAGAAGAAAAACCGGCGAGACGGAGAACAAGAGACCAAAGAAACCCACAAATGTGAGAATTTTTTCCGTTAAAAAATTATGATAACCATTATATTTTCTTAGTTTAACATCATTTCAGTGTATTTTGGTCCTTTTCTTCATAACAAGCATAAAAAATCACTAATAGTATGCTGATGTCTTGGTAGTTAGCTAGCTAAATTTTTCTGTTCCACCTTAAATAGTCCAGCAGTTCTGACACCTGAAGCACCAGAATGTAACTGCTGCACCATTTAAGGTGGAACAGGAAAATTCAAACAAGAAGCTGGTGAATATCTGACTTCAGGTTCATATCACTGAAGAATTAGGGGTGGGTGATAATAAATAATTGCCCCCCTCTTTGAAGGCATATGATGCCCTAAATGTAACTAAAGCCCAGCAGTGAGGAGCTGAACTTTACCCTCCTCTGCTGTCACTGCAGACTGGCAGCGTCGCCTACAGAGCAGCGCTGGTAGCTGTTAATGAAGTGATGCTCTTTTTATTTGAGGGTCCCATTTCAGAGGGAAGATTTCAACCACTACCCTGGAACTCAGTTCCAAGGGGTTAGGGTGACACTCGAAAACAAGGGGTAGGGGTAAAAAGAAGAAATGGGATTGGACCAAAGTCTAAACTCTGTACACTTCTCCATATGACGTGTTATTAGATGTGTGTGTAAACAGGCAGCTGACCAGCTAACCACTAATCCAATTCCTATTAGAACTCAAAACTATCAGGTTTTTCATTTTAATGGTTGTTTTTTTTCAGCAGGGGTATAATAACACACTAACTAGGAAAACCTACATAAACTAAAAGGTTTTTGAACTCCTGAAATTATATCAGACTGCGCGCGCAAACACGCACACCCACGCACACCCACACACACACATCACGAGCTCGTCGCCGGTTTTACAACAAAAACACATCTTCATATGATCCTAATTTCCCTTTTCGCTGCACACATTCTCCCTTATTTACTGCCAGCTTCCTAGTATCTTCAGGGGTTCCTACCTCTCGTTGTTTTATTGATCTTCCCTCGTCTCTCTCTCCGTCTCTCTCTCCGTCCCTGTCTGGAGCTCCTCTGTCTGGGGTTCCCCTGTTTTGGTTTGGTTTCTCTTTCTCTCGTAGGGGTTGCATTAGCACCACATTCAGGACAGCAGAGGAACAGCACAGCAGAGAGTCTGCAGTGAGTGGTGAGAACTTTTTATTTACTTTAAGACAAATGACAAAAAAACTGCAATAAAGTCACCATGCTTTACTAACACATCAGTAAGGATGTCATAGAGGAAAAAAGAGAAGGAAAGGATTTAGAGGGGAACCCCACCAGTTTTTCAAAATTCCTGCATAACTCAGTGTGTGAGATGTGAACAGAGTGATTCAGAGGGGTTTGGTGTGAAATGGTTCTGCATTCAGTTTAGCTTGAAAGATAAAGAAGAAATCTTGGTTGAAATTCGTCTTTAGGTACACAAACCTTACACAAATAGCATAAACTGTCTCAATGTAGACAAAAATGAATATTAAAAAGGATATTCATCATTAATAAAGCAAATTTTGTTTATTCTCAAAACAAAAAAGATGAAAATAGACACTGCTGATTACAAACAAACATTTATTTATGCATTTATTCTTCAGTTAGTGTTATTGTTACAGTTTGGGGGCAGGGGTGGGTTCCTAAGATGCTGGTGCATAGGGGCCTTGAATGACCATGATCTGTCCCTGATTGTAGAGCCTGATTACAGTCAGCAGAAAAGATGTCCAATAGCGCCTCCTACTGACAAAAAACCTGAAGCTCTTTAGGAAGTTCTGATGAATGAGTATCATTTTATACAGCCTCCTTATTGGCAGTTCACTCATGTCTGTCATCCAGTAGCACCTCCAGGTACTACAAATCATCACTGTCTCTACAACATCTCAATGTTGAATTGTAGGTGGTTTAGTTATAAACATCTATAAACAAGATAAACATTTGTACAGTAGATTTCATTGTATTGCACAATACAGAGCTGTACTGATGGTGTCAGTAGTCGGTGTTCTGTATACAGTTAAACTGTTACGTGTTACTGTACAGGCTACTGTTACATGGCAGCAGTAATAAAGTGCAGAGAGACTCAGGGGTCGTATGGTGGGTGAGGGTGGGATTGTGAGTTCTAGGTGTGAGTGAAGGCCACATGCTGCTGCACTGAGTATCTACTGGCTGTTCAGCAGCCTGATGTCCTGCGGAGAGAAGCTGAGTCAGAACCGGCTGCTCTGGAGTTTAGGGTGAGATCCTACTGTGGCTTTTGTGGGCGGAGTCTCTGGTGGTCCTCCTCGTCTTCCTCTAACAACACTCTACACTCCTCCTCCTGCCCACCCTGGATAAACCCCACTGCAGTATTACTGGGTGTTTGAAGCTGTGTTAGATCCTTCATTCTCCTGACTGACAGTAGAGGGTTGTGGTTCTGCAGTAGACAGTGAAGTAAAATTAGGAGGTTCAGGCAGAGAACTTTTTCTGATTGGCTTCTGAGGTTCCTCATGATTGACCGCTGTGTTCTGTTGTTTAGGTTTAGGAAGTCCAGCGGGAGCTTCAGTTCGGCTCAAGTTGGACTGAACTGACCTGAGATGAACCATCTGTAACTGGAACTGTGTCACCATCAGATTTCTTCTTTGGTCAAAACAGAGGTGGTGGTCTTTGGGGGCTGCTGTTTCTCCTGTCTGACTCTTTTAATGGCTTTGATATCTCCTTTTTTAGATCTGTGAGTAATGGAGGTGGTGGAGGTGTAAAAAAGACTTTGGTGTCTTCTTTTCTGGAGGAATATTATCCTCTGGTGCACAGGTTTGAGCTTCAGCTGAGGATTCACATCCGGATCATATCCGCTGAGGACCATTTCTGTTTCCTCAGTGCTGCTGGCATAGCAGCTGCTCTGGTGGTCCAACCGGTCTCAGCTGTGGGCAACATTGAGGGTAAACAAATCAAATAACTGGTAAAAATAATTGAATAAAAGTAAATTTAAAAAATGAGATGATGTCATACGGGCTGCCATACTACTTGTGCATGTTTCTACTTGCTATTTAGCTACTTGTGACAGTTCAGTCTATACAGTTACTGTACGCTGGTTGTTTACAGGCTCTCTATAATCACTGTCAATGGTCCATGCAGTTGTTCAGTGATCTAGAAATACTGACTGCATCCATCATATAATCAGGAAAGGGTACTGCAACATAATTTGACAACAGTAACACACTGTCACCCACTGCTACTAGTGGACGTATCGAACTCTTCTTACCCTTTAATAGTCCGTTTGACACAGTGCTTCCCTAGGCAGCTACTAGAGCTGAGAGTTGATGAAATTTACAAACAATGTAAAGGGAAACGGGTACTTTAAAATTATGCATAAATGTGTATATAAAAAAAATAAAGATTATTGACAATAAAATTTCAAAATATATCATTAAACTATATTTTGTTGCTAAAAGAATATTTGCACTATATGTAATTATGATTTACTCTAATTTGGTGAGTGGGTGGGGTTTGTGTAACTCTGAACTGTCTAAAAATGCACCCTTCCACAACACGCACATCAACAGACTGACTGTATTTGCTTTAGACAAAGTTCAAAACAAAGCAAAATGTACTATCTGCAACAAAAAGTGTCTCTGCCTGTGCAGAAACATTGTGCTAAGACTTATCAAGGTTACAAAGAGAAGAGGTATCACTTTTTGTTGTTTGCTTTTAGTTAAATGTGAGAAGTTAAATTAAATAATAAAAGATGAGACTTACCGTAAGAGGAGACTCCAGAGAGAAAAACGCAGGAGGCAGGAACGTTCTCTGTATCTACCAGATCACAGCTCTGTACCTGCAGCTGAGCTGAACCTGCTGTTCTGTCTCTACAGCTGAACATGCTTTACTGCTCAGTGACTGAGCACATGGACCAATAACAAGCTCTGAGATGGTATCTATGTGAAGTAAAGTGAGCTGGAAGGTTTCTGATTGGCTGTAATGTTCAGATGCCTTCAGATTACCTGGATCAGGTGTGTTAGATTAGGGTTGGAGCTAAACTCTGGAGGGTGGTACAGCTCTAGGATCAGGACTGGGCATCCCAGATTTTTTGTTTGTTTGTTTTACCCCTTCACCCACCCTCGTCTGGCAGTTCTCCAGCATCCTCAGAATGTTATGCACAGCGTTTTCAGCTCCTGTACTGAGAGGTTTGTTCACAGGAATGTGGACTGAGTGTTTTCTGAGATCCTCAGTCTGATTGAGAAACAGAAGCTTAGCTAGACACCAAAACTCGTGCCTTTGCTTCAGTTATTGACCAATTATGCAATTTGTAAACAGAATATTCAGCATTTTTGTATTACTTTTTTGTAAATTAGAAATTCAAATACTCCACAAGACATTTATATGTTGTATTGGAAGTAAATGATAAGACAAAGTTAAAATAAACAATCAAGAACTTTATAAACCCATTTATGCCGATTTCCTTTTCTAGAGCGGTTCTGAGAGCTGCACTGAGCAC